TTTTGCGAATTACTACTACTTTGAGCGAGGTCCATAAAAACAGTCAAATGTGAAGGTAGGATTCATTTTACCAGCCACGAGCTCGACTGATGGTCACTGCAATGTCGAAATATTTTATCACTTTACGTATGCGTGATTTGTTATTCGGCGTCGATTCCGTTATAAATAAGGGTTTACCTCGCTATAAAGGACTGACCAAACCTAAAGTCATCACGCTACCGATAGGGCTGCAATACAGCCGGGGCGAAACAGCCGTCTATCACTGTGCAAGTGCCATAACGGACCTCATGATAGGCTCAAGAGATGTTATCAGATTTCTATCTGTAGTCTTGAATAGATTTTAGGTTGTCCCATAATTTTTTCACATTTATTTTTTATTTAGTTTTTTTTTCATTTCAAATCGGATCACTCCAGAAGGCTGCGGTATGTTGGAGAAAGCTTTAGTAGTTTTAACCACGAGGCCATAGCAGTTTCTGCTTGTGAATCCGCACAGTCTTTTCTAATCTGTCTGACAATCTCCAAGTGCCAATTTCTATTACTGGATAAGAATAATCACCGTCTGCCATCTAAGTGAAATGGATTCCTACAAAGTGGAGCCTCGATAGACATCTCAAAGATTGACTGAACATGACTGCGCTGCACGCTGACCATCTGAAAAGTCTCTTTCTGCGGGCCAGGTAAGGCCCAAATCGGTCGGCATTAGTTCTCTATTAGAATCGGAGTCCTGAGCCTATCACGAGAACAGCACGGCGATGCTGCGTTGGAGACTGTTCAACAGCAAGCGGCAGTCGATGCCGACGTCTACGATGAACAACTCTGAAGGTTGGTCACAGTAGTGAGAGAGAACCTCCAAAACGACTTATTGTCGCGCTTCTTCACTATAATGCTCGACCTCACGTCAGAATTCCAACTTTCTACATATATTACAAAAAAGGAGCTAGACCACGGTACTAAAGTCACCGCATAGCTCCTATATGGCTCCACTGGACTGTCATCTCTTCCGCATCCTAAAACTGCATCTACGGGAGAAAAAATTTTGAGATGGCGAACAGCTTAAGAGTGACTCGCTAATTCTTGATCGTCAACTTCACTCTTTTTTGGGAAGAGGGCATTTAGCCTTTGCGCACAGAATGGATGCATTTCATTTATCACGAGGCTGACTTTATTGTTGAAAAGTTGATTTCTTTGGTTAAACAACAACTGAATTAACATAAGTGTCGAAATGCGAAAGAAATCATGGCACAGCCTACAGCAAGTCGACAGGAGCTTGACATAATATACGCATCGCACGAAGGGATCATCATTTTTTAGAGAACATTTCACAAATAAAAAAATTGCCTATTCTGAGTTTGATCAGCACTTTTCAAGCTTCTGGTTGAGGCTCTGCGCTCGACTAGAACTAGCCAATGTAAACTTTTTCCCCTCTGCTAACCAATGGAGAAGGTGAGCGTTTTCATAATTGGCCACTGCATAGTTTCACCAATATCATGTATGCGATAACACTCACAAATATAAGCAGCTGTTTTAGTCATTTATGAACAAACAGACTTTCTAAAGCGATTTACAAGGTAGAAATTTGGTTAAAGTGATAATTTTTAATGCTGTTGCAAACACAGCGACTAAGAGATTTCCCTCCCTCCACCCGTCGTGTTAATCACAAATCCTGTTCCCGCTGCTGCATATTTCTCCTTTTCTTTTGTTATCAAAAAATTTATGGGTGGGTAAAACTAACTAAATAACAGAAAGAATGGTACTTGTCAGTTTGCTAAGCACCAATTCGATCCCTTGTAAAAACGTATTTCTTGGTCTTTTTCAATCTTCAAATAGTCTTTCGATAGCACAAACAAAAGAATTTGAATATGTATCTCTTATTTAAAAAAGCTTTCATATTGCGCTGAAAGAGCAAGAATAAAATTTTGTTTCTCATTGAAACATTTCTCGCTGACCAAAACATTTCCTTTAGAGTTTCACTTATCAATCGATATATCAAGTCTTAGTAATTACAATAATTTATTTGGCTTTATTATAAACCCGATATTAGACTGTAACTGCCAAAAGAAAAGTGAGTTTAGCGAAAAAATGGATCGCTGCAGCTATCCTTTCTTCACTTCGATGCATTGATAAAAATTCATTTTTTGATAGTCGCTAATGTTTAAATAACCAATCGATAGCTCAATAAGAAAATTGAATGGAGGATTTTACTTTCAAAAAGGCCTCTGTTGTTGCGTTGAAAGGGCAAAAACAATGATTTGTTCCAATCAAAGATTTCTTACTAATATGGGCTCCTCTCATGTAGTTTCAAAAACCAAACTCTAGATCAATTTCAGGGATTCCAATAGTGTATTTGATTTCTTTAATGGACTTTCTATTGCTTCATAACAACTAAAAGAATATTGGGTTTCGCACTCAATGCTTTTTTTCCAGTTTGCGAGGCTCAATCTTCTTTTGATTGTTCCAGCCTGATATGAGGTCAATATTCAAAGTTAAGGAAATTGTTGAAATTCTTAAGATCCGATGTATCAATTAATTGGTGACACTGCAAAAAAAGTTTTTGTTCAGCGAAAAATCTTTGGATGAAAAACAAAATATTCTTTCTGCTTTTTCAGCGCAATAACGAAATTTTTTGAAAGTGAAATGCGCCCATTCAAACCCTTTTGATTTAAGCTATCGATTGATTAGTTAAGCATTGGAAACGATCAGAAAATACGTTTTTCCCAATGGATCGAAGTGAAGAGGGGATGGTTGAAGAGATCAATTTTTGCGAAACCCTATCTTTTTTGGCTGTTACATCGTAATACCATGTCAATCATAAAACAAATAAATCATTGCAATCCTTGTAATTTGATCTATCGAATAGTTGGTGATACTTGGAAGAACAAGCTTTGGTCAGTGAGAAATCTCTCAATGAGTTAGAAAATACATTTTGGCTCTTTCAGCGCAGTGACAAGGTCCTTTTGAAGACGTAATACACTGTTCAAATTCCTTTGATTTGAGCTTAAAATTATAGTTTAATCGTCGAAAATAAGAGCAAAATAATTTTTTTAGAACGATCGAAATGGCGCTCAGCTAACGGATATTACAGAAAGAATAGAAAGCATGATTGTAAAATCTCAAAAGGCAGCTCATTCTGAGACTAAATATAATTAAGTGATTGCGGCGATAAACAAATCAAGCTATCAGTTGTAAGAAGAAATTGTACTAAATGATTTTCCATCAAAATATTTTCGAATAGCTCATTTGTCCGCATAAAACGGAGTACAATCTTTTGATTTTGTCTACCGCCTGTTCCTTTCTTGTGCAGGGCACGACGCAAAATACAACTTCAAGAGTTGATCTATGGTCTCGACTGTTTTTAAAACCTCGCAATAAACGTCCAAAATAAGCTCAAAAAGGGATTTTCAAGCCTAAGCGAGGTTGGTATGCCAGGGCCATCCACGCATGTTTCGCAGGCCTTGCTCTCCTCGTCAGTGACCCACGCCCACATTAAGCCCTGCAATTGTTGCAACAGGGAGGCGTGTTTGGTGACGGCACAGTATACAATGACATTGTACCATCACCGCTTCTCAGTCGATGGATTTCGGCTGGTAGAACAAATTTTTTGCTTGGCATCGATTGTTTGTATAGCCCTGGCGTACCAACCTCGCTTAGGCTTTAAACTCAGACGGCAGCTTTCATATGATAGACGTTGAAACCAATTTTTCCACTGAATTGTACTTTATATACGAAATATTAGCACGATGATGAGCTATGGTAGGATGTACATCACGTTTTTGAGGAGCGCAGACTTGCTCGAACGTTAGCCACTGGTCCTGAAGAGGATACCAATCGTGCGCATTTTGCTAGAAAATAGAGGGTTGTAAAATATTTCTCACTCTAAATGCCTACTTCTAGTAGGTTCGTGTTTTCCTAATTTCTTTAGCTTGCGTTTACGATAACCGTACCTACATGGTAGCATTCATGGTGATACGGGATGTAATCAGGGATAGAAGTCGCTGCAATGTCTAACTTTTTATAATTCATTGTCAAACAAAAAACGAATCATATGTAAATCGCTATAGACACTCTAGATACATTTCCTTCCAAAAATAGCAGAAATATTACTCTTTTCACGAGAAGTCCATCAGCACAGAAAGCTAGGCATTCAAATGGAAGCATACATTTAGGCATATGAGGCAAGCGAAATGCTGCTATTTTGCTTTCTCTCGCTTTCGATCCAGTAAAAAAATACGGCTGTATACCTTAGCTCGGTAGAAAAACCGACCTCAGAAACCATGAACTGTTATCAGTCTCATTCCCCCATTATGCACGAGTTATTTTTCTAAGAAAAACTTCAGATATTCGATTGAGCTTACTAATATTTTCGGTACTGATACTCGAATTTTCTAGCATTTTTACCGCTTTTTTTTCAGTGTTATGATGTGACATATAGTGTCTAAGAGAAGAGAATAATGAGCAAAAACATGGCCTCAGCTGGGAATCAAATCAGCGTTTCATTCTATCCAGGGACGAGTGCTCTACCACTACACCATCGAAGCACATTTGCCGACCACTCATTCTTCAACATCCCTATGTTAACTATCAGCCACCAACCTTTAACAGGTTTGATCGTGCATGCGATATCGCTTTATAAAACCCAGTTAAGCTGACAGCCACTGTGGTAACTAATATTCGAAAATTTCTAGTATGTTACTGCATTTTTCGCAGTGTTATGTTCATATACTATTCATATCCATATACTTCTAAAAGAATTGATTGATGTGCAAAAAACATGGCCTCAGTATGGAGTCGAACCCGCGTTTCACCCTATCCGAGACGCGTTCTCTACCACTTCTCCCCTGAGATTTGCCCGACCACTCATTCTTCAACATCTCTATGTAGCTATCAGCCACCAACCTTTAACAGGCTTAGTCGGGTATGTGATTTCGCATTTATAAACTCAGTTGAGCTGGCAGCTATTGTAATGACTAATACGCGAGATTGGTAGCATTTTTCCTGCTTTTGAGTAGTGTAGTGGTAGAGCACGCGTCTCCGGATAGGATGAAACGCGGGTTCGACACCCGCCAGAGAGTCATTTTTTTGCTCAACACGCAATTCTCCTAGACATTTTCGATATTCTTGATTTTCTCTTCAAGGCCGCACAAAAGTATCGGTCTGTACAAGTGCCCATTATCAGACCACATGACATGCTGGCTCTAATAATAATTATGAATAAATATCTCCTTCGTCTTTATGGACGTTATTATGCGCACGTTTTCCAGATTTAGCTCATTTTTATCTTCATAGATTCATTTATAGTTTTTGCCACCGCCCGCAAGCAAGTAGGTTTCAGAAATTTATATTGTCTTTGCTTATTTTTATGACCCATGGTGGCCAGTTTTGAGTATCATGGCAGCATGAGAGTCTGTCGTGCATCTCTTTCTCCAAGGATGTCACCAGTTTCTATGTTTGATGAAAAAAAGTGCAATAATTTCTCGAAGAATTTATTTTACGTTCATTTTAGTATTCTGAAGTACAAGTAAAACGCTCTAGCTTGACTGTCCCTTAGCTGTAAAAAACAGTCTACTCGACCAGCGGCTGTAAAACATCCATGAAAAAAGATGACAAGTTTGAGAGAAATATAGTAAATACAGAAGCAAAATTCATGCTTATCACAAATCAAACGCATTCTCATTCTCAACCACAAACTAGGATATTCAAGCTGCTGTATAACGTCTTCTCATAAATGTTAGCACTAGGGCAATAAAGGCCAAATTTATCTATTGAAATCAATTGAAATAAAGCTTGAAAATAAAGCTTAACAACACTATTCAAATTCTACGTCATGAACCTGAATAGATTTCTGCCATCTCTCAGGCAACAATCAATACCGCTTTGTGTGGATTTTTCTGAGCAACCTTTTGGTGCCAAATTTGGTGATGCTATCCGCATTGCGACAGCTCAACGAAGCCTTTGTCACAGTTTGCTGCTTTAGAATATGAATTAAGACGCAGTGAACAAACCGTTTCCGAAAACATCAGATGTGCATACGCTCGGTGATTCGTGTCCAAGTAAAGGTCTCGGTTCTTTACTAAGGTTCTCGCCGGCAAAACAAATTTGGAGGACCAGCTGCGCTCCGGTCATCCAGGCGAATTTGATCAAAAAGCAGTCATTGAAGAAAGTGAAGAGGATCCGACCTTGACTATCAAGGATGACTATGGTTATGAGGCAATCAACAGAATATTGAAGCACCTGGACCCCTACAATCGGGCCCTATCAGCGTTGACGTCGCGGCAATCTCATCCTGCTTTAAGACAACGCGAAGTTGCATTCTTCGAACTGACAAAGAGAAAGTTAACCGAACTGGTGTGGGAATAGCTAGATCATCCGATGTGCAGTCTTGACATATCGTCGCCTGACTATCACCTTTCCAGGTCGCTGGAGCACTTCCTCTAAAACAAGGAGTTCTGAAACACCAATCATTTGTATCGAGAATTCATAACCTACTTTGAGTACAAAGATGGCGTGTTCTATGAGCGCGGTATTGATTTGCTGTCTGAGAGACGGTAGAAATGTGATCAGGCTGATGGAGCATACTAGCTAGAATGGTGTTGCTAAGCACTTTTATTTGCTTCTGCATAGAAAATTTGGTGTAATCGCTACGATCCACAAAAAAAAGTCATTACACGATTCATGATGTGTGCAGAGGTAATACGAAAATCGCACCAAGAATTTCAAAATCAGGAAGTCTTCCTTTCATCCAGGCGGAATGATCAAAGAAGTGGCAGCGGTTGTCATATAGTGACTGGACTCGCTCCTTGAAAATGTTGCAGTTCGTTGAAAGATTTGATTAATCTAACCGAAAATGCACTATGGCATCGTGAACAATAAAAAGAATAGAAGCATGAAATCACTGTGCTCTCGGGATAGCAAGGTGAAGTCCGTCGACCTCTGGTGGACGAATGCGAGACCTATTGGCATGGAGATAAGAGAAACGAAAGTGGAATAGCACAACGATAAGCCTGAAATAGAGCTGCAACTTAATGACTTTTTACTCTCAAGCATGATCATTTGCCACTCCAATTAGAATTATCGTGTAAAGACATGGATGCAGTCTGAAATGTATGAAGAAGCTGGCTTCCTCTTATTTTTTTACGTTGGTCGATATCACAGCAGATACTACTTGATTTTAAAAGATCCTTCTCTCTAGCACAAAAGTTATAAAGCTTTGAAACAAAAATTTCCGCATAAAAATGCTGATTTTCTTACGACGAGTTTTCAATCTAACACGTGTTTGACTCGGAATGTCACAAAAAATCGTTATCAGTACGTTATTTCGCGCATAAAAACGATCGTACGTAGTTATAAAGATAGCTATGCCATAGTATTCTGTCTATTGTCTAGTATATTTCATGCCACGGTCAACCTAAGATCGTCCTTTACGACGAATTGCGTGACTTTTACTGGACGGCTTAAGGAATCTTTGAGTCATAGACGTTGGTTCGAAGCCGGCCCAACTTTCAAACTCTGTTTATATTAGGCCGGAAAGGAAGTTTGGGACACTTGCGAAAAATTGAAAATTTGTGCATGACTTCCAAACAAAAGCCATAATAACCAGTGTTCAAAATGAAGGCCATCGTTTTCTACGACTTTCTGCCAGCGGTTCGCCAAGTTTGAATCTGTTCGGAGTACCCTTCCTTCGACTTCAATCAAAGAACTCTTGACAACGCTTCTTTAACTTGGTCGAACGATTTGAATTTGCGAACCTTCAAAAGGTGTTGCATTGATGGGAAAAGGCCAAAGTCGGATGGAACTCAATCTGAACTGTAGGCAGGTGCGGCAGAATCTCGACTCTGTGCAATTCATCAGACTTGTCTTTGATCTTCAGGGCAAAGTGCCCTGATATTGTCTTGCTGCATCAAGACGCGCATTCGCTTGGCTAAAGCCGGGTATCTCTTTTTTAAGCTTGTCGTAGACTCGGCCTAATTGCTAACAATAGAACTCGGCGCTGATGAAACTGCTGTTCGAAACCAGCTCTAAATGCACGACCTCTTCAAAATTTTATCAAAAACGGATCATGACCTTCTTTCCAGATTGATCGTCGGGGACTGACAGAGTACCTTGACCCTTTCGCGAACCCACTGTTTTCTTCATTGTGGTTGACCAGGTACACTCACATATCGTGCGATGACACAGTGTGCTTTCAAAATCGGTCATTCGGTGGATTGTTGGGCACTTGGAGACAAACTTCGACTCTTTTGGCAACTCGTGCTTCAGTGAGTTCATACAAATCTTGTCGTGGCTTTTTGTGGACAAAGTTAAGCTGATAAGTATGAGTTAGCACAGTTGAATAAAAATTTTTTCATGTCCGGTTGCCAATCCGCGAGCACTTGACGACGGTTCATCTTCCAATGCATTGATCAAATCTCCATTGTTCAACTTTGGTGGACGCTGTGAACAAGACTTGTTTCCGAGGTTAAGAACTTCAGCATTAAAGCATTGCAAGCAGCGTCCAGCAGCAGATTTGCTTATTGTGCCTTTTCCTTCAACTTCCTTGATTTAATCGATTGCGTCATCGCTGTGGAAAGATCCTTTTCCCAATGATGACGCAATAAAACACAATTTTCAATTATATCGTTGAACGCGGTGGAGGCTGTACCAAAGTGACCAACAAAGACAAATGATATCTAGGCTTTGAATGGGATACGCCGCATAAGAAACTGTATTATTCCCGTGCTATGCAAGGAGGCTATATTATGCTTATTATAGTGCCCCAGAGCTTTCTCTCCAACCGTAGTATGCCAGCACTTCCATGACATAGGGTATACCTTGTCATATTACTGTGCACCAGCTGATGGAATAATTTAACAAAAGATAAATAAGGTTTGTACGGAATCTAGAGATGGTTAGTATTTTTTGTTTGGACGCTAAAGAGAATTTAGCGATTATAGTACGGCATTCCGTGCCATAGCTGAGTTCAAATTTCTAGATAAGAACAACTTTTAAATCAAGTTTTGTTCTAATTTCACCACTTTGCGCACTGCTTGTTCAAGCGAACGCAAACAACAGCGATGCCGACAAAGTCGACTTATCCCCTGTGTTATCGATGCAATAAAACACAGACTTCGATCTACCGTTGCTTACTCTTCACCGTAACCCACGCTATACCGTAGTTCAGCACTCACCGTAGTTCACTCTTTACTCCCTCCATATTACAACTATTTATTATATTGCAAACTCATAGTTCAGCATTCAACGTAATTCACTCTTTGCTGTCTTCATGTGACAACTGATCATCGTATTACGTACTCGCTACTTACTGATGCCATTTCTTATGTCGTTGCTTTTAGTAATGCTATTAAGCAGATATAGGTCCAAGTTCCCAAGTTTGAGACCCACCCACAAAGCCCTTGTGCGTGAAAATTCCCAACGATGGCAACAAAACCACTGAACCGTTGTTATAAGCGATGCAAAATATGAAGGTAAAAACCACCTATTGAGTCCTCCATATTTTCTGCACATTTTGACACTTTTACTGATTGTAACTTATATCTTATATGAAAAAATCAACTTGTCAACAGTGCAGTCACCATCGTGCTCTGTGATATGCAGACACTTGCTGGGTAGAGATTGGATGCCGTCCTCTCAGGGACAATGAGACAAGTGATTAAAACAGTCGGTCAGGTCATTTAAAGCTGGTTGTCCTTATAAAATTTTTCTCCTGCAGATCTTCTTCCAAGGCGAAGGAGAAGGTAGTGCGATGAAGCAATATCAGGGCTAGACGGTGGATGTAGTGTCCTGTCCATCCCGTTTCCAAAAAAGGGGCGAATCGACTATACAACGTGACTCGAGTGTTGTCTTGAGCAAGGGCGGCACTAAGTGGTTTTATGCGCTACTTTTGCACTGTTGTGGCTAACCTCCGGAGTTGCTTCCCGTAAAGGTCGGCATTGATTGTCTGCTTGTCGTCAAGCAGATCTCAAAACAACATGTCATGGCGATCTCATAAAACCAAGAGCATAATCTTTTGACAGTGGAACTTGGCATTTGGTTGAGCTGGCGGTTCTTTGCCACGAGGCAGCCAAAGGCATGGCGTGT